AAAAAAAAAGTTCTCCCTTCCTAATTATGTATGTGATGCTGGATTTTGTTCCTGACTTTTATGTGTATGGTATTAGTTAATGCATATTCATCTTAATGTTTTCTTATTTGACATTACCTTTGTAGGAAGAGCATGATGCAGAGTATGAGGAAGAAGGAGAGGTTGCTGATGTTTTTGATAGTGACTTCGATGAATCTGTAAGTTGTAATTTTGTACAAGTTTTAGCAATCTTCACCATTTATCTTGACTTTGGCTTACTGTATAATGCTATAGGAGCCCGAGCCCGATCAAGAAGTCGAAAATGAACCTAATGAGAGGTTTGACTTCCTGTTCTGTATATTAAATAATCACATAGGATTGTAAAAATTATGCTCCTTTTTTTTTTTAAAAAAAAATATATCCTTCTTTTATTCAATAGGAGGACAAAGAAGAAACTAATATTTCCAGGAAAGCCATCAGCAAAGAAGAAGAAGAAGAAAGAAACGGCGATTTCTAAGTCAGAAAGTGTGCCCAAAGATGAGAAATCTGTGGACCAGTTGAGTCCTGAGCATCATGATGTTACCAATGATGCCGAGGCAGAGAAAATAGTTAGAAAATCAACCAGAACTTCAGTGATTATCAGGCAAGCGGAGCGAGATGCAATACGTGCAGCATTGCAAGCTACAATGAAGGTATGGTGCAGTGATGGGCATGAATATGGTTTGCATGGAAGGGGAGATATTCCGTTGCTTATGTAAGCAAAATAGGTATCAAAATCATGAGAGCTAGTATGATTGGATTCTCTTAAGGTGACTGCAGTGATGATGAGTTTACTTCCACGAGGATGGGATGGAGTCCACCCAACTAATTATCGAACTCAAAATAAACTTTTGGATAATGGCTTAAGCAACAAATGAATGCTAAAACTATCATGATGTCTAAAAGAAATAAAATGTTTAAGTGCTGGATGTGGTTACCAACATTAGTTTGTTTCTGAATTTATTCATGGACAAAGGATAAAAAATATTTGATAACACCACATGAAGTGTAGCTTTTGTTTTGTTTTCTTATGCTTCAGTAAAATCAGAAACTTTGTCTCGTGTTTTTTTCCAGGACATAATCCCATTTTTTTTTCTAACGCGTAGTTGACTTTGCCATTTCAGATTATGAAAATGTTAACAGATGTTTATGATATTTCTATTGTTAAACTCACTTATCTTTTTTATTAGAAATTCAATTGATCTGTGTAAAATCTTGGAGGAAGGCACAAAGTGCATGGAACCATGTTTTCACGTTCGTTGGTCTTTTGACCATGTTCAGCTTTGGGGTAAAAATTAGATTGCTTTCTGCACATGTGTTCTACTAATCACCTTGTTTACACTTTTCAGCCAATAAAAAGAAAGAAGGAAGGTGAGGAGAAGAGGATGACCCAAGAAGAGATGCTTCTGGAAGCAGCTCAAACAGGTGCATTCCATGTCATTACCCTGATGATATGTGTCATTATCTTGCTGTACTTATTGTATAGTCATTTCACCCCTTCTAATTCTGTGGTATTACAATCATTGCAGAGATTATGAATTTGAGAAATTTGGAAAAAGTGTTAGCAAGAGAAGAAGAAGTTAAGAAAAGAGCTATCGTGCACAAAGCAGTTTACACTGGTCCACAGATACGATATATTTCTAAAAATGGCAAGTTTTCCCCGTTCCCTTTTGAAAGAACATTTTGTGGCTAGGATAACTATTGTCCTGATTCTAGTTATATTGGTATCTCATTTGCCATTTAAAATTTTATGAAATATGTGGAACTCTTTACTGTTTCAGGAAACTCTTATCTAGATTTCATGAATGGAGCATCATTTGATTCAGAATTGTCGACCTCAACTGTTCCATGTAAGTGAAACACTCCTGTTACTGGTCCCTTCCACTACATGTTAATTCATGCTCCTGTCCAGATTCTTCACTCATATCTTCAGCCATTAGAATGTTATTTTTTCTTGGAATATATATTACATTATAGCCATGTCATGTCTTAAAGTACGGATCTGTTGGATTTTCTACCAGTAGAGCTGCCCAGTTGGATATTTCTTACATATTGCTGTCACATACTGATGTTTGAGATACTTACAATAATCTCGAAACCGTTGCTAGTGCAACTCTCTAAAATTTGAATTTATATGAAACTTGATTCTTTTAGTCTTCTGTCTTCTTTGGCTTCAGCTTTTAGTTGGTTATCTGCATCAGAAGAAGTGTGTGATGATTGTATGGTGTAAATTCTGTCTGAATCATTTTAACAAATAGCTTTTTATTCCTTAAAGATTTCAGCTCATGCATCACTCCTTGTTTCATAAGAAACTTGTATGATGAGAGGCATGCCAAAGTAGATGATGAATTGGGCCATAAGCTGGGATTGTCATGAATAAGAGACAAATTGCTTATTGCAACATCTCTAAATTGGCTATAATCTGGGGATCAGCTTGACATGATGTTTTAAACCTAATATGCATAGTAGACAGTAGACACGAGATACTAAATCAAATGCCTTAAAAAAAAATGAATTTGTATGTGCATACATACTTGTGGTGAATCAAGAACACCTATCATAATGGATTAATTGATTACTATTGTGGAGTATCAGATGAAATGGAAGTTCTAATAAACGTTCATTCTGTCTGCAAGTACTATTTCCTCCCACAATAAAATTTCTTGAACATATTTTTACAGAGTACATAGTATATTGGGACCCAAAAGGAGGGGTATCCCTTGTGGGATGAGGCTGAGCTTTCTATAGTTCAGGTCTCATCAGTGTTATTAATGGCGGATTACGTAAATGGCAGTTTGCCAAAAATCCGCCATAGCAGCCGCTGTGGCAGCTTATGGCGCTGCCATAACCACCATCCTTCAGAAATTTGGCATGGCGGATTTTTGCTATACTGCCATTTGATAACACTGGGCCTGATATATCTATCCTCCATCTCTATTCTCTCTATATAGATATATTTTTATGAAACTTCGTGTATATATATATATATATACTAGTACAATACCCGTGTATTACACGGGTGCTTGTTAAAAAATTATTATTATATTTTAAAATTAATGAGAAAATTATATTAAATTTAGTTTACTTTTTTACAAAAAAAAATATATTACTATATATTTTAGAATGATATGTGTTACTTATGATTTACATGTGTTATATTATATTAGTTTTTATAACTTATATCATATAACTACTTGAAATATAAATATATTAGTTGATAAATAATTTTATTTTTCTAATTAATATTAAAAATAATTTTATTATTGTTATAAAGATAAATATAAATTATTTTTTTATACATACAGGCTATGTTTGGTAAAACTAGCTGATAAGCTAGCTGATAGCTGATAAGCTAGCTTATAGCTTATATGTAATTTTTGAGCTTATAGCTTATAGCTTATGACTTATAGCTGAAAAGCTAGCTTATATGATAAAAGGTGTTTGGTAAATTAGCTGATAAGCTAGCTGAAATAAAAAATTCAACTAGCTTATTTGAAAAGCTGCCTAAAGTAGCTTATGAAATAAGCTCGAGCTTTTTAAAAAAGCTCGTCCTACCAAACGAGGCTTATTTTAAACAGGGAGCTTATAAGCTAACCAAATAAGCTATAAGCTAGCTTATTTGGCTTACCAAACATACCCACAATATGGATGTTAAATCGAAGCTTATCAAAAGAAGATTAATTTGATATATTACATATGTAAAACTGATAAAAAATACAAAAGTTATTAACTTTTAAAATATATATACAATTCAATAGTTATAATAAGGAATGATATTAAAATACAATTAATACATGTAACATGACCATAAATAATCAACATATTTATGGTAATCCGAACCTAATTATTTTTGGTTTGGAATTAAATTAAAATTTAACCAAGCCTAATAACGACGCATGTAATTTTGCCACATAGGATTCCGAAGCACCAGAAGCAGCCACGTAGGCTCAGCGCATTCTGTATTAATATATAGGGGGGATATATATATATATATATATATATATA